CCCGAAAAACGGCGCTAACTCGGTAACCCGTGGCCCGATGAAGTTTCGTAAAGAGCGCGAACAGTAGTGTGATGTAAAATTGCTCATGCTAGAAATTTTCATAAAAGTGACCCGAAAAACGACGTTAGCTCGGTAACCCGTGGCCCAATTTTAACGAAACATGTTTTATTCTAATTCTATTCTCATTTCATTAGAAATATGGCGCTATTTTGCGCCGTTTTTGCTGAATTTATTTACAGACAAGCAAACAAACAAACAAACAATCTCAGAGTTTTAGTAGTATATATATAGATCAAACCTCTTTAACCACCGTGACCCATTGGGTCAACCACTATTCAGAGGTTATGAAGAATTCAAGCTTATTTGAATATTGCACCGAAATGAAGGTTTATTTTGAGATAATTTAATTAAACATTTAAATCCATTCGTGTTATTCATAATTCAAGAAAATATATTTGATTGTTTATCGAGAGTAAAAGGAAAGACCATTTCATTTTTCAAAAAAGTGAAGTAAGAAGTTTTGTAAAGAGCGCGAATGGTAGTGTGAATGATTTTTTGACTGACAAAATAAGCAAACAAACAATCAAACAATCTCAGAGTTTTCGTAGTATATAAATAGATTCTTCAAGATCTTGTTTTTGTCATCTTACGCCTTTTAATGAAGATGGGAATATTGACAGGGAAATAATATAATAGCCAATGCTGGCGAGAGGTTTTTGTTTTTAAAATTTTGTTGTTGTTCTCGACTTGATTTTTATTTTATTACCTCGTCTCCATAGTTACTATTTGCAACTAGTCAACAATATTGTAGGTCCATTTTATTGTTGTTCTTTTTATCCACCGTTATAACACATTTTCATCTCATCATTTAATTTCTGTTGTGCATATATTGCATATAAGTAATTCATCAGTTGGAAACCGAATAGATAGATAGATAAACCGATATGTGGCGCCATTTAGTTTACCTACTTTCATCTAGAATTTTCATAAAAGTGACCCGAAAATCGGGGTTAACTCGATAACTCGTGGCTCGATTTTAACGAAACTTGTTTCATTCTGTTAAAATTCTATTTTTATTCTCACTTCATAACAAATATGGCGGTATTGTGTGCCGTTTTTGCTGTATTTAATTACAGTCAAGCCCACAAACAAACAAACAATCTCAGAGTTTTAATAGTATATAGATGAACCGACATGTGCAGTGGGGAATCTGCGGGTTCATTTTAGAATAGCGTGACGTCACAGGCATTGCATTTCTGCATAACAATAACTCCAACTGGTAGTAGATTATAATTTTGTAATGCTGATAGTACCAGCTTTTTACGCGAATACACTTTAATTTTTGTTTATGTTAAACCTTATACGATGTATTTGACTTAGATTGTCGTTTGAACATATTTCTTATTTTACAAAATACATTATTTGGCAAATGTTTCAATCATAATTATATTTTTTCTTCAATTTTTCACATTTACGTGAAAGTTAAATGTTTGTAAGATATTGAACAGTCAGTTATATTTACAACTGTTATTTCTGTTACTTTACCTCTATTTACAACTATTATGGAAGAAAGATCGCTACTGCCCATGTCAGCACTCAGATGAAGAACGAGCTTCTATTGAAACCTAGGTGACAGATGAAGTTAAGAAAGCGACTAAGTGTGGATACCAAATGCTCGAAATATAATAAATGTATCATTGTCCTTCTAAATCTTCTAACTTTTTCACAGGATATATTAAACTTAAAGAGGAAATTTCACGATAGATAGTCTGTACAATAGAAAACTACAGATTCACACATATCCATCTTTCAGCTGTATACTTAATGAACAGGTGTTCATGTGAGTCCTGCTCCTTTCAATAGTAAACCTGGAAGAAGGTATATTTCTAAACAATGCCTAAATTCTGTTTAGGGCGATGGGGTATGTCTGAAGACAAAAGTCAAATGACATATATATGTAATATGTAAGGGTATATTATGCATTAATGAATGATTTTTTAGGATTGTTACAGATGTTAGACTTATTAACACTGAAGTCTTCCACTGGAAAGATAGGCGTGAATATCTTCCATAGCTAAACCAGACAAATATATTCTTGGTTCACCACCATTCAAGCTCGCACGATGATCTTTAGTTTACATTCGATTAATTTAGAAATCTTACAAAACATAATTTAGTCATAAAGTAATAATTCGTGAACTTCTAAGGTTCTAAGGTTATTTCAAGTATTATGTATGAGATTTACAAACTCATTTTACAATACAACAAATTATAGCTGTGAGAACGTATATTTAGTTCATATCATTTTCATTCATTATAAAAAAGTACCTTAATTCAACTTTGTTCAAACTAACGATCAATGGTCAGATAAATATGTGTCTAGCTTATCCTTTTATGATAAACTTGAGAGACAAGAAAATGAAGACAAACACATATAAATTAACAAAATTGTTTAAATGCAAATGAGACGGACAGTTTTATATTTATCTAGACGTACTTGAAAATGCATATGAATTATCGACAGCGTTTTAAAAGTTGGTCCTGCTAAGGAAATATAGAAACTTTGTTAAAAATAGTATACAATCAAATGCTAGGTTAATTACTATACATATATATCTGAAGTGAGTAACTTACACTTGTAAAAGTAATTGTAAAATCATGGCATTCTGTATTTCATGTTTGGCAGATAATAGTTAAAGTATATATTTATATATATGTAACATATTTCTTACTTTTAGCTTAATGTCAAAACCCAGAAGGTAAATTCTATCCTTTCTTGTACAGCTGCTAGAAATCTTGTTCTCCAGTGAATGAGCGGACTTACAACGCTAAAATCCGGAGTTTGATTCCCCGTAATAAACAGGATGCAGACAGCTCATTGTCTAACTTTGTATTAAGAAGAACAACAAACAACAACAGCTAAAAG